ATTTTACATTTGCCTATGTTTAATGATAGTTCATTTTTCTGACACCAATCATGTAACTCAGTAATATCGTTTTGTAATAATATACAGTCAGAATAGTCTTCAATCTCCCTGAAAATCTTCATATCATCAGCAAAAAGTAGTTTTTTAGAGTTGTTAATGAGTTGTTTAGAGTTACTAATGACATCCAGAAAATGTGTTACAAATAAGAACAAAACAATTCAATTGAATTATTGATTTATTTATTCATCAAACCCGGAAGGAAGTTACATAATTTATATCTGCTACAAATACACGTCTTAGATTCATTTAAAAATGTAAGTACAGAATATTACATTTTCAACTTATTCAATCCCTTATCTTTTGTATTGATTGGTAACATCGTTGTTTTTTTTCAAAACTCTCATTTCTCTAAACATTGTTTTCATATCTCTTAAAATACGAATTCAATATGAAATAAATCAGAACTTGAAATATTTCTGGCAAGGTGATAATATTAACCACAACAAAACTTTTCTTTATCATGATTCCACAAGCGAAACGTTGCGGCGGTGTCAGTCTAATAGGCCAAAAGCGGCAAATTTCATGAAAAACTTTAGACATGACAATGTGGCCGATTATCGAGGCGATTCACGGCGCATCCAAAAACTTCCCTCTATGATTCGAAAATGCGCACTGTGATTTATTACCAAAAAAATGGAGATAATACATACTGGGTGTTAAGCATTCTATCGTGGTTAGGTTATTAGTTATTAGATTCGTTTAATTTACAATGATTAGCAAAGTAGTATTACTGGTGTTTTATTTAATTTTTATATTACTTAAAAGTAAGTATGGAATTTTTGTTTCTACGTTTCTTTGTCAAATTTTTAATTTTAGGAAATCAAGTAGGATGCTTGAAATGTTATGTTTGTGGAAATGATTCCAATCCTTGTGCTGATTTTGAATTAAATAAAGAAAAATTTGTTCAAGAATGCAAAACCTCTGACCGAGGATGCTTTTTGGAAACAAAAGGTATGTTGTGAAATAAATCTTATTTTTTCAATGCACAATTTTGTTGATTTAACTTAGGTGCTAAAAAAACAACTCGAAGCTGCAACTCTCAAGGACTCAATGATTGTCAGACTGCCAACAAGGTTGAATACTGTTTCTGTTCAACTGATTTATGCAATGACAATGGGGGTAAGTTCTTCAACCCCACTGATGATGAAGACTTACTAGATGAGGGTAGTGGCACCAAGCAGGTGTCTCCAGTTACTGTCGAGCCAAAAGTTATTGCCAAGGGCTCATCATCGAAACTATTCTCAAAAGATGAATGTCTTCAGTTCTCACTCATTTTATATTTTGCCATTATGTATTGAAAAAAAACATATTTAACTCAGTATTCAAATCAGTATTATTGTTTTATATATGGATTTTTTCTGGATCCGCCATTTATAAGAAACCAAGTTTGCTATTTTGAGTGTCTTATAGACTTGAACGTTACCAATGTTGCCAATTAGAAAGGAAACTCCTTAATTACTCAATCAACTAATAATATTTCCTGGTTTTTATACAAATTTTATGCTTATGAAAAAGTAAATTTTTCAATGTTGACCAAAACGCCTACCAACAAGTATTCATTTCGATTTTTTAACTATAATATAGTTATTACATATTGCATGTCATTATTGGATTTCCTCTCAAAATAAGAACACATGCAATCATAAATGATTAACCACAGGAGTTGAAGTAGTTCAAAATTTAGAGAGCAGATTTCTAATATAAACCAGGTTGAAAAACAAATTAAATGATACACATCATTGGGACAGAAGACTTCACCATAAAATTGTGAATTTGTGTTTAATTGGAATTGTGCCAAATATTTACATACTATGATTTAGTGTATACAAAAAATAAGCATCTATTATCGAGGTGATTATTTAGAAATGCATAACTCCTTTATGAATGATTCTTACAGATGAAAGTTAACTGCCCTAACAGTTATCGAGAATAAAAATTGTTTTATTAAGAAATTGTGTTACTGGAATATTCAGAAAGTTAGTTGTAGCAATTGTTACAAGGTTTTGATTTCCAATTTACAAACAATGAATTTATCTAAAGTGTATTTTCTTGGAGATCCTACTCAAAAGGAGGTTGTTAGTTCAATGACCTTCCTTATTATACAACTGGATTCTTTGATGAAATAGATGTATCTGTTTAATTTCAGTTTTTTTAAGTGTATTGTTACATGAGATTATGTTATATGAGAGATTTAAACCAAGTAATTTTATTTGTATATAGTATGTGTTATTTACATTTTTAAGTTTACTTTTATGGGTATCAAAGAGATTTGGGTATGTTCAAATATACAGGGTTCTGGAATGAAACGTCCAAGTAATATTTCAGGAATGGTTTTCAGTTTGACTTTTCTCTCAATCATCAATGTGATTCACTGAGAAAATATAAAATATGATTATTTACCCAGTTTTGAAATATTCTTAGTGTAAAAAGTTTTGATTCAGGCCCCTCAAGTTACCAGTGATTGTAATTCTAATTCAACACTATTCAAATCTCAACAATTCCAATATTGGGAGATTCACTGTATGATTACCAAAATGTTGAGATATTTTTTTGAGTAATTTTGCTGTAGTATATTTTTATACCTCAGGATCTGTCCGTAAATGTCAAGAATTTGAAAAACTTTGTGAAACTGTCTAAGGTATATTCCAGGACTGAGCCTGTTATATCCTACAGATCATGAATGCATCTTTTTTGGAGGTTCTCCTATCCCTAAAAAAACATTCCTGAGTGAGAAGTGCTAATAACTACTCTTACGAAGGCGCCATCTAGGGGATTGGCAGAAAAAATAATATCAAAGTTGAAGGAGACTCCAATGACAAAGCCCATCTTTGACAGTGATGGCTGGATGAGAAGTTAATTTTGTTCCCTGTACTTGTTTATACAAGTCTCTTGCTGGATGTACATGTCATATATTCTTCTGAACATAATTTGGGATATCTGTAAATTGTTTACCTCCTGTAACTGAATGCATTATATTCGCATAATATATGACAAGCTGTATCTGTCCCTTTGTTGTATTGCCTGCAGCTAAATTCTTCGATGTACCGCTCTATTTTGTTGACCAGGTGTTTTCTCAATAGACAATGTCCAGTGAGTGCACTTTAATTGTTCAGGGTCGATCCCTGCTTTGTTGAAGTTATCTTTTCGGACGGTCCCTTTATATAGGTTTTCTCGTATGTGACCCACTTCTCCATTTTGTTCCGTATTGAAGATGTTGATACCCCCACAGGTGGTTCAGGGCCTATACAGGGTGGCCCACGACATTCGCCTCGGTATTTCTTCGAGAAATGAAGAGAGTTAGGGAAAAACTTTTAGCACAGTTATATGTAGGTCCATGAGGAGCATATTCCAAAATTATTTTGAAATATATAGGGTGACTCCCAAAAAAGTTACATACCAAAGTTATATTTTCTCTTATGAAACACCCTATATTTTTTTATATTTTTAGATACTATAGACAAAATAAAGGTGAGTTACTATTATATTTCCCATACTTAAAACTGACCGTTTCTGAGAAATTTAAAAGTTAAGTTGGAGCGAACAACAAAATGTCACTCCATCTAGTGGACGAGGTACTAACCAACTGCACATCCGAATTTTGCCCGATTCCTCTGAATAAGGAAGGTCGATGATGGCCATCATTGCACTGACCACTGGCTAAAAAACCCGAAACCGGTCTGTAAGTGTGCCCGTTCCAAAATTGAAGATCGACTTTTTCAGTTGTATTGCCAATTGCATATGCAGGAAATGTTCTGTGAAGATTCCTGCATTGACGCCTGTCGGATATAATTCAACGCCGTTCGTGGTATTAGCCAGGAGAGTAGTTGTTTTCTGATAGGCGTCAGCCCATTCAACCTACTGTGTAGGTATATCCGAGACTGGCTTGCATATTTAAAGTTCATTTCTTCAGATTTGTTTACTGCATGTCTTCAAGCATAGCCCACTGACTAATAAGAAAGTGTTTTTTCCTTATTCAGAGGAATCGAGTAAATTTCGGATATGCAGTTGGTTAGTACCTTGTCCACTAAATGGAGTGACATTTTGTTGTTCGCTTCAACTTAGGACGAGAAATGAAATACTCAATCCAATCATTCATGTATTGAGTTTTGATGTACCAATAACTGATGAAGCTACTAGCGAAACGCGACTTGAACAAAATTCATTGTGAAAATTCTATAGTTATTATCATGGAGAGTGTTATTGATTTTCATCAAGTAATATGAGTCAGAGTCTTCAAAATTTGTTGTATCCAAATAGGGACCTTTTGTAATGATCTCAGATATCTGAATTCCTTGCCATTCTGAATGTATCTCTAGTTTATTATTTCATCAGTTCCAGATATTCTTGATCTCTTGATAATTTGATCTCTGGTTGACTGGAACAATGTTCGTTGCACGAGAAGATAGTAGTTATCAGTAATCGATCTACTGCTTACTCTAAGTCTGTATAGTCTTGTTTCACAAAACTCATTCGCTCTAAACATGTTTCAAGACTGCCTTACAGGTTTTCTAGTTTGTTTACCAGGGGTTTGGATGATATATATATATAATCGAGGTATGAGACCCTCCGATTCGAAAGTGTATATGCCGATGTTCAGAACAACTTTCCTCATCGGTCACATTCTTTTTTTCAAAATAATTACTCATAAATGTATCGCTTCTCTACGTGTCGTGTTAATGAAGGTTGGTGTATTGGTCAAGTGGTGCGCATTGGCATATCACAGCCATTTAAGAGCTGTGATTTGTCTGTTCAGCAGGCTACCACAGGCTGGTTGACGTGTTGATGTCTCTAGTCCACATCTCATTACCATCATGAGAAAATTATGCTGATCCAAACGATAATTTTCCTCAGGTCCTTCCTCACCAGCCATCTGCAGTTTGATCGCCGTCACGCCCCTGGTAGGAAAGTTATTCATCGACAGTATATTTCAGGTCTCTGTGGTTCTGTTGACAATTACCTCCTCCCGGATCTCACCCAATATCATGATCTTTTCCCTTTAACCCAGAGTTCGTGTATCACAGCAAATTCAAACTTTTCCCTTAGGTTGGCTTGTACTACTCTCATTGCGAATCAGAGGAGTCGCTCGAAGAGTCCTCCTCTCATTTATAGTTGTGGTCCATTAAGTTGTCGTAAGGTGGTGTAAAGAGTTATCCACATCCATGGAGCTTCCTGCGTGGAAGCTGAATACTCTGAGAGGTCGCCTGGTATCTTATAAAGGCTTCATTAGTAATATCTGATGAGCCCCAGGCAGCAGTCATTCTTCATCAACGGTCGCATAACACTACTGGATTAAGTCCAACAGGCAAGGGTCACCGTAGACTTATTCCAACTCTCGATGCTGTAGGGTGAGGCACCCTTATTCATCTACCTTTTCTCCCTCGACCCGTTCCGCTTAGGAGGCCCTACTAATAGCTGAGCTACCGCCATAATGGCTCTCTGGATCATTAAAGTAAGTAGGCCTCACCTCTGAGACAAAGTTAGAGCACCGACGATGGAGGCCTTTCATCTTAGTTATTCTTTGTTTCAGTTTTCTGTCGATACTATATTTCCGCGGTCAGCAATATAAGATTTTTTAGTCAGGGTTGAATCGCGTAGAAAGTTTTTAGTTTTCAAAAACTCAAAGCAAAACAGGATCTTCTCTACCTAACCATATGAAAATCCCGTGTTCAGTCACCATAGCCTAAAAGTGCGTTTTTAGCCGCACCGGTCAAGTGAATGAATGCCAACAAAAAACTACTAAGATCAGGATAATCTGTGAAGCTTTTTGAATTGAAAAACGACGCTTCTGCCTCAACAAACAAGATTATTCACCAAGATTACCGCATTCATAGAGATCATCACTGTCCCGCCGCACATCTCATATTACACACATGCTCCTGCAAGTCACACCCTTGCTCCCGTTACCAACCACAACCCTCACTCCTCGCTTGAGAGTAGATACATTGAGACCCTGGAGTCAAGTTGAAAAACCCTCAAAGCATTTCACTACCCGAGTATGAGGCCTGTAGTACGGAAGCGCAGAAGGGCCACATATTTTAATTATTTGTTTCATGGAAACTACGACTTTGAAACTGGAAATTTTGACTACAATTTTGAAAATTCGATTTTAATCTCGTAATTTCAAAATTAAAAATTCAAACTCGAAATTCCGACTTCAAACTCAAAATTTCGACTTCAATCTCGTAATTTCGAATATAAAGTCGAAAGTTCGAGATTTTGTGGTAATTTTCAAGAAATGAATATTAAAAATATGTGGCCCTTCTGCACATCCGTAAGTTCCGTCCAGCACGAAGTACTGTGTCTGTAAACCTTAGACAAGAGAAGAGA